TAAGATTTTAAATATATTAAAGTAATTTACTAAACTCAATGTGTATTGATTTTAAAATTAACCTTATTATTTAATTTACCATAATTATTTAGATAAGTTCTTTTAGCAAAGACTAAAAAAATTTAAAAGTTTTCATCATGATATAAAATATTAATGTTTCAATTTATCAAATAAATTATTTCTTTCTTTCGTTTTGTTAGGATCTAATGTTTATCCTTTAAATGGATAGGAGCTCATCCTTCGTAAGAATTTAGGTTTGAATCTCTTGTTTCGTTTGGTTGAATCGAATGGTCATTCCATTCATAATCTATTTTGAATTCATTATAAATATAGCTTTATTCAGTATTTTAGTTCATTCTAAATTTTGTTATATGATAAATTTAATCTAATTAAAATAATATTAATTTTGATATATTAATTTAAATTATTAATGTTATAATTGATTAATATAAATGATAATAATATTATTAATAATATGATATTATTAATAATTAATTATATATAATAAAAAATAATATATATCTAAAAATATTTTTATACTAAAAGGACTAAAATATTTTTAAATTTAAATATTTTTAAAAAACTAAAAAAATTCTTAAAAAATCAAAATCTTTTTCTATTAAAGGGATTAAATATCAAATTTCATGTGAGTACAATGACTAAATTTTAAATTTTGTATGATTGTAGGGATTATTGATATAATTTAATAACTAATTTTATCCATTTAATTTGCCACATTAGTAAATCAACACTACGTCAGCAAAGTTAATGCCACATAATTAATTCAATGACCAAGTTAGCATTTTTAATGGCAAAAATTAACGGAGTTAGTAATTAGACTAAAATTATCAAATTAAATTAGTACAAAGATTAAATTTGTATGAATTATAGTACATGGTCTAAAATTTAAAATTTTGTAAAGTATAAGAACCTTAAGCATAATTTAATTACTCGTAAAACTTTTAGGTTAGGTTGGGTAGGTCGAACTCGAGCTTTATATTTCATTACTAAGATCCAACCTAAAATTTAAATAAATGTATTTATGCTCAAACCCATCCAACGAGTTTAAATTATGTATCCAGAGTCTTTAGAATATAAAGTGAGTTTACCAGCTTGAATTGGAAGGATAATTTGGCCTTTAAATAGCTCTAATACCATGTTATTCATAATTTCTTGAGTTAATTCAATCATTTTAATCATGATATAATGTCATGACACAAAAATATAATATAAAAAATTATATATTGAGTTAGAAAAACTTGTTTTATATCTATTCTCGTTGACACGAATTTTGGCATAAAATTATTCATGTCTTATATGTGTTAACACAACTAAACATGTGTATGATATGAAAAATACATTTAAATAAAATGTGTCACATGGATAACGTTTAACATGTGACACGATATAAAAAATATGTTTAATTAAATTGTGTTACAAAAGTATACGTTAACATATTTTTATATTTATTTTAATTTAATATAATCTATAAAAATTATTTTAATTTTCAATCTTTTAATTATGATATCTAATTACCTATTCAATGTAATCATATAAAGATTATTTGAAACATTTAACTATGATATTCATTTAATAGTTAATATGAAATTAGTTTTTATATTAATAATATAAATACGATATAAATAATAATATCAGTAGATATGTCATTATTTAGTCATTTATTTTTTAATATTTAGTAACTTATCATTTTAGATTTGTTGGTTCTAAAAATAAATATAATTATGTATACATTTATGATTTTTATATTAGTAATGTATATATAAAATATATATGTTAAATGCATATTAAATGAATATTAAATTTTTTATACTTTTAATATGCAAGTATTTTTTGTATTAGTAACGTATATATTAAATATATATAAAAATCTTAACATATTAATTATATATTGTGCTTTTGTAATTTTTTATAATAAGATTAAAAAATTATTTAAAAAAAGGAATTGAGAAGTACAATATACACTTAATTGTTAATAACAAGTAACATTCAACATTATTGTCATTAATCAAGCTAATCCAAATTACATGAATATACAATAACAGATTATATTGATAAATTATTCTAAACAACATGTATAATCATAAGAAACTATATAATCATCTTAATTACATGAAGCATGATAAGAGATTATTTTAAATCATATATAAAAGTCAAGATAAGAGATTATACATTTGAAATTAAAAGCAATAGATATTCTAAATAATTGTAATTATTATTTTATTATTTTAAATATATATTATCAACTATTTTATTAATTGAAGAAATTATGTTGAATATATATTATGAAGTATTTTTGTGAATTATTTTAAACAACACGATTTAGATATTTGCAAATTATTTTGCTATTTTAAACATATATTATGGAGTATGATATGGATTGAAGATATCATTATTTTGTTCTGTAAGCTATTGTTTAATATTTTTAGTGGAACATCATTTATGGAGGTCGGAGACTTGGACTTAGAGTAATGTAATTTATATTATATAAATATGTGATAAGTCAATGTTTAGTGTTTAGTGTCTTTAATTGTTTGGTACTTAGTTTTATTTGGTTAATTGTAATTTGTAAATGGCTAGTTATTTATTATTTTAATCGTGTTAGCTATGTTGTTCGTGTATATTCGTACAAATCGTATCTATTTTTGTATATTTATGTTGATTCGTATTGTATTTAAACATATTAATTATATATATATATTAGTTATATCGTGTCATATACAACACATATAATAAATGTATCATATTTGTATTTAAGATTTAGATACATTTTATAATTTGTGCAGTATTCGTGTTTTAATAATTTGTGTCGTTACATGTATCAAACACAACAAACTATGAGGGATCCTCTTTAGACCCTAAAAATTTTCAAAATACTTTGATATAACTATATGATATACTTATTTCATTTATATATTTAAATTAAATTAGCTTTCATATTAAAATTATTATTTGTTAATTTTATTTTTTATTTTTAATTAATTTTATGCATAATAATTTAAGAGGAATTAAAATAATATTATTTTTTGTCTATTTATTGTACCTATAATAATTATTCACAAACCTTTAAAAATAATAGATTTATCACAAATATCAAATTACACTCATATAAACTAAAAAAAAATAAGTCAACTTTTTAACTTTCTTAGTAAGATTCCAAATCTTTAACCAAGTATCAAATATATGTCTTGAAATTTTCTTTTAGCTAATAGCACTTATCTTCTTACATCTTTTGATTGTTTTCAATTTTTTTATTAGTTAGATAAAATCACAAATGAACTATGATATTTGCTCGGATTCATCATTTTTTTAAAATATCAATGTTTAACATACATGCGATAAATGTGAATATAAAAATTGAGTAATCTAAATATAATATGAAAAAACTTTAAAAAAATATGCATATTCATTTTCAACATATATTCGTATTTAATATTGACTTACAAATTTAAGTAACATAATAAATAAAAAAATATATATTATATTATTTTAATTTGTTCTCTTAATAAAAAATATTAAAATTTATTAACAATGACGTGAGATGATATAATTATATAAATTATCAAATTTAAAAGAATTTATAACTTCTAGAAAAAGGGAGATATTTGTTAATGTCTTGCTCATGTAACAAATGTTGTTTAACACTTGACCGATCGATTTGGTTATTGAAATTCAAACGAGTCAATAATGATTGTTGCCATTTTTCAAAGAAGAGAGATAAGATCCTTATTAATTACGAAAGCACATAGCAATATTGAAGTCCACGGTTTTGAATGACCCTACCTTTAGAAACCACATGAGGTTAATGCACCCGATTCCCTCACATTTGAGAAAGTATTAACCAACAGCGAAAATAAAGTCCAAAATTTGCAACTGATTCAAACATGGACTTGATTGCAATCGTCTCAAAAGTCAAAATTTAGGTTATTTAATTAGCCTTTCGTACGTCTTGGTGTACGTCTTGTTTTCTCGCATTTCGGAAGTATTGACCAATGGTGAAAATGAAAGTCCAGCAAATGACTTGTCAAAAGTCAAAATTTATCTTACTTTATTGGGCTTTCATACGTCATGGCATATGTCTTGTTTTCTTGCACACACCGTGCATGCAACAATTTAGGGGAAGATTATTTTAATTAAAAATTTTTATATTTTAATTATTAATATTAATAAATTCAAATAATGAGATTAATTTTTTTTCATTTATTCCTTCATATTTGGATTTATTAAAATTAATGATTAAAAAAATATAAAATTTTTAATTTTATACTAATGTAAATTGCTTAATTCTCTATAATTTATATTAATATATAAATATATTTAAATTTAATTTTTGAAAATTTTATTTCTTTTTAAAAAATATCATTCGTAATTTTACGTAAGATTGTTTATTGAATTATTTTTTCATATACATTGTATATGAATTAATACAATTTATAACTTATTAATGAGCTTATTATTTTTTTTATCAATATATTGCTTGCATATGTATAATTTATATTAATAAATATAATGGGATCATTTCTAAAATAAAAAAGCATAGTTTTAGTTGATTTCAAAATCAAATGTTAAGATCCAATTCTACATGTAATTAAGAAAAATCAATAATACTATTAATATTAATAATAATAGACTTGTTTAAGAGTTGTTAAGGGGGTTATTTATAATGATGTAAAATTTGCATTGTCTACTAAAAGAATAACACAAAATATTGAAGTTTATTGATCTTTAGAACGATTGGCATGATATTAAAATAGATTCTACGAGCTTACGAATTCAAAAGAGTTTATATGCATAATATCCTATTCAGTCAAACAAGTATAAATTAAAATGATTTAATGATAAATTAAGAATTAAAAAAATACAAAACATTGAAATAAAATTGAGATTATAAATTTATTAACAATGATTTTTTTTGTCGATAAAATGTTAAATTTTTAATTTTAATAATCCACAATCTCAAATACTCAAAAAAAAAAAATTGCATCAAGTTTCGGATGTTGGGGAGGTTTTAATATACCCTTGGCCTAACCATATTGCTGCAACTGGAGTTTCGGGTGGCAACCCCATTATTACGGCTACGCATCATTAAAGTTAATTCTGTATTAAAATTATTTCTTGGAAGCTGAGTGACAATAAAATATATTATCACTATTTCACAACGTTTTCAACTCTCATTTTTTTATATTTATTCCCCAACAGTAATAACGTGATTTGAAATGACATTGTCAGAAACTTGTTGGACTGCTCCCCGGTGGTGCAAATCTGGTTGTTGGGGTGAGACTGTAGAATCACTGCTCCTAAAAGATGCGCCCATGGCCAATTCATAAACAGCTTCAGCAATTTTCTCAACGCATTCAATGATTTCAAGTAGAAGTGAAGCAACTGAAGCAGCTGGTATAATCTCTAGTAGATCTGCTTCTTCCCACAGGCTTGTTTTGAGGAGGGTTTTCAGCTCATCAGCAGCAGTCCTTGAGGGACCAATGCGCAGCATAGCTGATCTTGTCCGAACCATTTTTCTAAATGTGGACGCCAGCTCCTTTAAAGCTTTGCTAGATTCGAGGCTAACCTTCTTGCATGGCCCTTGAATTTTTCCACGGATTTCTGCAGGAGTCTGCGAGAACAAAAGCAGATATAAGTTTATATCAAGAGATAATGTAAAAACCTTTTTCCTTTAATTCTATGCGTAAATTGTAGTTGAAGGTGATCGATTTTTGTATTATACCTGGAACTTAGAGTTAAGGTAGCTATTAAGAGCTTCAGCTTTGTAGGCACATTCCCGAGTAAGATTTCCGATTTTTAGGTACATTTTCCAAGGATGACGGAACGCAAACCGACCATGACCTGGTTCCCATCTTGCTAAATTCGCCTGCAGAGAGTATGAAAATTGAATTGAATTAGCCAGTTCAATTAATTCAGGTAATGCCTGAATCTGAGGAGACAGAAAAATATTTATTAGCTGATCACTTACCATTGTTTCTTCACCGCTTTTAGAAGTTAGAACACTTCTATATCCTAGAAGAAATGATTTATTCTCATTGGATTGCGGTTCTTCAGATACTTTAAAATATTCATCTCCAAAAGCTGTTTGTGTACATTAAACTAATCAGTAACTCTGTCCCAAAACTAAAATTAAAAAAAAAAAAAAGAAGGGAATGAGAATATATGCATGCAGTATTAATTAGTATATCGACTAATATAATATTGGATTTTGGACCTTCCAAAAAATTCCCAAGCCGTTCCATGTTGGCGGCAACAGAGTTGTGGAGATCCCCACCAATCCAAACTGGGCAAATGGAAATACAAATAATGACAGAAATACAGCTACCGACTATGATGTTTGATACCCTCTCATAGGCCACTTTTAGCACTTGATCTTCTCGGTAACCCGATATGGATACTAAGCTGAAGGTCAAGATGAATATTAACAGCCCGTAGTCATATCTTGCCTTCATTCTTGGAAAGAATCTCATAAATGTCACAATTGCAGCTGCAAAAAATTAAGACCCCAAGATTGATATGATCAGTTGGATATTGAAACCGACAAGGATCCCTTAATTTTGTTTTGTTTGTAATTTACCTATTATGAAGACAAAAGTTGCTATTAAGATGGGTTCTCCTTTCCTCCCAGAAAGAGTTGCTAAGCAGTGAGCAGCAACACCTAAGGCACCAGCTACAAATGTTGCCAACATTCTGTTTAAACCTTTACCGAGTGTTGCTCCTGTGAAAGACGAACAAGAACAATGAAATTAGTTTGAAGTTTCGAAATAGAGAATTTTCACATTATAAGTGAAATAAAGATAGCAAAGGCATAGACATGCCTACAGAAAATTCAAAGACAACAACAACAGATAGAACAGCCCACATTGCATTAACTCCTAAACCATCATAGAGTGGCTTAAAGAGGTAGAACAATGAAACCAGTGTGAGAGCTAGTCCAACTTTTAGGGAATGAATTATTCTTCTTGGGTCATCTTGTCCAATTTTCTTTGTCATCATTACAATCTCCATTACTTCAGCACAAAATTTGTTACGCAAGGCCTTGAGCCACTGCCACCCACGAGTTAAGGGCCCAGCACTATCCTGCCCTGATAATGTTACTTCCATTTTATATTTGCGGAATGAAAGACAACAATATTTGAGAAAGCGTTGTAGAATGTGGAGGAAGAAGATTGAGATGATTTCTATTGAAGATTCCAAGTATTTATAAGGAAAATAAAAGATTTCTGGAGCCTTCCATGCGCGTTCTCACAACAAACAAATGTAGCAATCTCGACAAGTGTGAGCGCTTGACTTATTTTTAGGAAAGTACCAAAGGGACAAGTGGGTTCAAGCTGGCTAGTCAGCCATGCCCACCGGCGTTACACGCTTCAGCTGTGCTTTGATTACTTTGACATTGATGTCGAAGGAAAAAAAAGGGGCTTTTTGCCGAATATGGATGCGAAACCTAGTTTTTTTTTAAAAGTTATATTCATAATCAATTATTTTATCAATAAATAATTAACTAATCATTGAATAATCAATTAATAAATTATAAATTAATTAAACAACCAAATACATATACAATGGGATTTGAATATAAAACCTTAAAATTTTAATGCCTCTTATTTATTAGATCTGATAATTCGTATTTTTATATCGTATTTAACATATATAATGATACGAATTGTTAGAATACAAAAGCAACAAAAATTATAAAACAAGCTTAAATTTTAAATACGAACACGACATGTTTATTATATTGTTACATGTGATACAACACAATTAATATATGTATAATTAATCTATTTAAATACGACACAAATAAATACGAATAACATTAATATACATAAATAGATACAACTAATACGATACGAATAGACACGACTAATACGAATATATACAAAAACATAACTAAAAGAATAAATAATTATAAACTATTCATCATTTACAACTTAATAAACTTAATATATTAATAATATATGTTATAACGTCTAGATCCGAGGATCTATTGCTAGACATTGACTTGAAGGAGTCGTCACAAATCTTTTTTATCTAGGTGTGATTGACCACTTAAGGAATCTATCCTTTCAGAGAATACCTAAGTTTAAGGATCCCTAAAAGAATAGGTTCAGGTCTACTAACTAGAACATGGTTCGGGGGTTCGATTACGTGTGAGGAAGGTTATAACACCTTCACAACGCCCATCGAAAAATGGTACTAGCTTAATTTTGTGTTATTCAAGAAGCCTTAAAAAATTTATCAAGTAATTAATTATTGAAAATTATTCTTAATTAACTCTAATACTTTTAGCAAAAAATTAAAAAATTTTCTCACCTCAAGAGTATAAAAGAAACTATTGTTTCACTTGCAAAGGCTCTATCGTCGGATTATTTAACAATAAAAAAAATTCGAGAAAATAAAAAGGAAAAAATGATTGCTTTTGTATAGGAAAAGTTGATACTTTCAATTTTTCCCCAAAATATTTTTTAGAAACTTTAATTTCGAGAACTTATTTTTAAGAAAAATTGATACTTTCAACTTTTCCTCAAAAATATTTTTTTTGAATTTTATTTAAAGAAAATAAAATAATAAAATAAAAATAAAATAAAATAAAATAAAAATATTAAACAGTTCAAATATAATAATAATAATAATAATAATAATAATGATAATGATAATAATAATAAATAAATAAATAAATAAAAACCTGGGAACGGCTTGGCTTAGAGGTTCAGCTCGGCTTGGCTCGACTTGAGGAAAAAAAACGGCTCGAAGACAAGGTTTGGGGTGTCAGCTCGGCTCGAAAAATGGCTAAAAATATAGGTCACAGGGCGGCCGAAAGCTGGTTGATGCTCGGGTCGGGTCGGATCTTGGCAAAACGCACGGATCCTGTGGGTTTACTAATACAAAAACGACGTCGTTTTTGGGAGGGTATATAAGGCTAAAGGTTGATTTTTTTCTCAGAATTTCCTTCTCCTCTTCTCTCTCTTCCCTTCGTTTCTTCTCCTCTCTCTCTAAACCAACGAAGAACTCCAGTTGAATCTCATTGAATTTTAGAAATTTTCATCGAAATTTGGGTTTTACATCGGAAGTTCGCCAAAAATCTGTTTGATTTTTGGAAATAATCACTGAAAAACTGGGTATTTTGCCAAAAAATTCAAACTTGGCCGGAAAAGTCACCAAAAAATTCAAACTTCACCGAAAAATTCAACCGAAATCTGAAAATTTTCCAAAAATTTTCAAAAAATATTCAAAAAAAATTCTCCAAAAATTCCCACCGATTCCTAGAGCTGTTCTAATGCACCAAAATCTTTTTTAACTTCTATTTCTTCTTTGTGTACTTTCTCTCAGCTAGTGTCTACGTTTTTTTGTATTTTTCCTTTGATCCGTAAATCCATTTATAAGGATTGATCAGAAGACTTTCTGTTCAATCTCAACTACTCCTTGGATTGAGATTCAATCATTGAATCCAATATGAACTTTGATTGAATCTCAAATTTACGGTAGGATTCCCCAAATTCATTCTAATCTCAATCGAAAAAGAAAAGAAAATCAAAAAAATATTAATAGATAATTAAAAAAAATAATCAGATAAATAAAAATATTAACAGATAAATAAAAATAAATAATAGATAAATTATATTATATAAATAGATAAATAATAATAAATACATATATATAATAATATATAAATAGCTAAGTAATAATAAATATATATTAACATAAAAAAAATAAATAAATAAACAATAAATACATAAGATACAAAGGAAAAAATATAAAATATAAAATAAAACAAAAATAATAAAATACAAAATACAAAATAAAAAATAAAATGGGCTTAACCATTTGGACCAGGCCCAATTGATCCGGGCCTGGATCAAATTGGGTCTCTACAATATAAAAAAGTATTTATATATTAAAAAGAATAAAAAATTGATATCCGTTTAATATGTATTTAATATATTTATATTTAACACTTAATATAATATATTAGTTTTTATTATCAAATTAAAAATGATAAACTACTAAAAATTAAAGAATAAAATAATAATGTATACTACTAAAAATTAAAAAATAAAATAATAATGTATAAGACTAGAATTAATATTTATATTGTATTTATATTATTATTATAAAAAATAATATTATAATAAATATTAAATGAGTATCATAATTAAATATTTAAAATAATCTTTATATGAAATTAAATAGACAATTAAATATCATAATTAAAAGATTAAAAATTAAAATAATCTTTATATGTTTTATTAAATTAAAATAAATATAAAAAATATGTTAAATATGTACTTGTATGATAAAATTAAATAAAATGTATTTTTCATATTATGTCACTCGTGAAATATGTATCTGTATGATATATTTTATCTAAACGTATTTTTTATATTTTACATATATTTAGATGTTTCAACACATATAAAATACAAATTATATCATATCAAAATTCATATCCATATGAATAAATACGAAATATATATTTTTAAAATAAATATATAATTTTTTTATATTATATTATCATATCATATTTAAAATTATTGAATCTACTCCTTAACACCAAGCCAAAGCCTTGTCGGCGGATGCAAAACCTAGTCAAATTAAGAGCACTGCATGTATTCTCTGTTCAAGAAGTGAGTTTCATTTTTTTTCTCAAAATAACAAAAAGCTGGAAATCTTTCTAATGTTTCAATTCAAGCTAAAAAAAAAAAACATCGGTAACAAAAAGTACATCATTGCAAAGCTCAATCACTACGGAAATTTTTTTTTTTTTTGACTTTTCTTTCATTTTCCTTCAATTAGCTATAAAAATTGATCATTACCAGTTATACGCCCAAAGAAATCTCGTTTTTCATGCCACTGTACGTAGATAGGCACAAGTTAACATGCCAAACATGCCTGTCCTTTATGACTAGATCATTCAAAGTTTTCTTGTTATGATTCATTTCATTTCCTTGTTTTCAACGGTTTTCTCATCAAAATTCTTTTTTTTTCTTTGGTTTTATTCTTTGATTCATACGTTGGTGGCTATGATGTTTTACATTAGTTCACAAAACAAACGACAACTACAACAGAAATTACATGTATCAAACGAAATATCTTGAAGTAAAAAAAATAAAGAAATCTTCGCCAAACCTTTTGTTAAATTTGAGAGTGAGATTTTACTAATCCTGCTCGTAGATTGGGTGGTTCATTTGAACTTGAAAGATCATCTGAAATTTTGAAAAGTTTAAAAAGTTTGGACATAAATATTAAATTCGTTAAATAGGTATGAACAAATAAATAAGACTTGATAAAAAAAATTATGATCGAACTTAGATTTCATCATTTAAGGTTTAGGCATGGCTTGATTTGAAAATTAAAAAATATTTTTTTATTATAATGGGACAAAACTCATTTGTTTTAATTTTTTATAATAGACAATGTATATTTGCTTTATTACTTATTATATGATGAAATCAGTTTTTTTATATAAAATAATGATTCAATTTTAAATTACATTCAACATAATTAAATTAGACCCAAGCTCAAATTACTCATAAATTCAATTAAAATTAATTAAATTAGTTAAATTAAGAATAAAAAAAAACTTATTTCTCCAATTTTAAATACTAATGTTTTGGATGAATTTGAACTTTATTATTACATATAGAAATGGATTTGGGTAAAAAATAAAACACAAAAAATCGGATCGAACCTAAACTTATTTAAAATGCTAAAACATCATATTAAGCTTGATTCGAATCCAACCTGACTTGACCTATGTGTTGTAGACACCGATTTTGTTCGGGTCTACTATTAAAATTAATAATAATAATAATAATAAAAAAATATATTTTTTTAAAAAATAATTATTAATTATTAAAAAAAGAAAAAAAAGAGAAAATAGGAAAAAGAAAAATCAAAAAGTAGGGTGGCTGGTGTACAGGGCTGCTGCCACCCCCGACCAGCCACCCTACAGTCCACCTCCTGCCACTCCTTATAGCCACCCCTACAACCATCATCTGTTCCCCTTTAAAGCTCCTTAAAAACCTCATAGATTCTTCCCCTTGGGACCTATCGCTCGGACAGACGAAGAGCTTACCCTTCATCATTGCTTAGGCCCCCTTTCA